GGGCACGGCCAGCACGCCGCGGTCCCGGCCTGCGCCTCCCACGCGGAGTCACGCCTGGTGTAGCCGATGGAGTTACGGTGCCTCTCTGCTCCTGGTCCTGCGCTGTAGGTGCTGGTGCTGAGCCGGGGCCCTCCATGGGAACCCTCTCCCGACGGATTTAGGCTGCGCCCGTGGCGTACCCTAGCCCGCGAGCATGGCCCACGTCTCCGACCAGGAGGAAGGACCTGGCGGGGGGCACAGCGAGTTCAGCGACATCATTAAGTCCAGATCAGGTAAGCTGTCGAGAGAAATGGCGTTCTCCTGTTTTCTCCTTTACGCGTAGCTTCTGACACCGGCTTGCATTTTTAAACGGCATGTTTTTCCAACTGTTTTTTTGGGTGTATATTGATAGTACAGGGAGCGACTGAGGGTGTTCGTGCAGCTGTCCTACAGTTAAGTAATAGTAATTGTAGATCTCTGTGGTGTAGTGTTTTTTTTTTTGTCAGTCTTAGTCAAGTCTGTTTGTTTGGGATCTACCTCCTGCATTATAATTACCTCTGCTTTTGTAAATAACCATGTGCTTAAAGTGCTCTTATGCAACCTAGTGTTGGCAGCTTTTGTGTTTATTCTCAGATGGTGAAAATGGCAACTGTGGCCGCAATACTGCACCTCCTAAAAGTGCATCGCGGTAGTACGCATGCAGTAAACTAATGTGCTTCCTCCTTAATGTAAAACAGTTGTCTAAGGCTACTCGCTCAGGCATTTCCTCTAGCAAAACATTCACGTAACAGATCTGAAGGTTATTGGAAAAACATGGGGTTTTTTTGGTTGTGTGTTTGAGTCTTCTGAGGCTCTGATGGATGCTGGGGGGTTAAGGAGGTACCCTCATTGTAGCAGGGGGAGAGCGGAGGCTTTGGAGGGGCGGAAGCGAGTTGTTTAAACCTTGATAGACATTTGTGCTACGTCCAGGGACTGGATGCTCGCCTCTTTAGCCTCCAAGGCTCCCTTTCTCTTAAATGCAAAATGCTCCTGTTGTCAGATGTTCCTTCGATACCTGAAACCTAACAGTGTGTTTTTGAAATGTTCCATATGTTAAAAACTGTAGCTCTTCGGTTGGTGGTGATTTGATATGTCAGATTACGTAGGATGCGGGTTTGAATCTGGATCCCGTTGGTGTTTCAATAGTTTGTTTCTAAGAGATCCTCTTTCTGAGGAACGACACCTTTGGAGGAGGCAGCCTTCCTCTTAGCTTCTGGAAGTGCAGTTTATGAAACAGAAATGCTTGTGGTTTTCCATCTCAAGTTCTGTAGTGTTGGTTTACATTTTTTGCTGTTATTTTGAAACCTCTGGACATAACTTTATTTGATTATAAGCGTGTAGTTAGGACCTCTAAGGGCTTTGAGTTTGGGGATGGCTTGCAGACAGTTTGTGTGCATGTAGGTACGCAAGTACTACAGTTTTATAGGATATCTGAGGAAACATGGCTGTATTTGAGGTTTTCCTTGGATGAACAAATTGTACAGTAAGTTCTGTTGTTTTGGTTAGGGCAGACGATTGTAAATCTCCTGTTACAACCGCTTTAACTTTCTTCTTCTCTGTAATGAGAAAATGATGTATATTCTAATACTCACAAGGCTAAAAGACTTGTGCATTAAATTAAAAATAGTGAGTGAAGATTGATCTTAAACAATTCATCTTTTCTAAATAATACACTGGTTTGGATCTGGATGTGCGATTTCTTCAAGTTAATTACTGTACTACATAACTCAGATCTGCACCATTCCCTAGAAGTAAACCTGTGGGAGGGATTTCCTAATGAAAGGGCTGAACTTTCCTGAAGTACAGATGGCAGCAAATTAAAGGCTAGTTTTCAGGACTGGGGAAAAAATATTATAGGCTATGCTTCCATTTTTCCTAGATATCTGGAAAAGAGAATGCTAATTTTGATACTTAGAAAGGAAAACTGAGTTGTTTTTTCCTGGGAAGATTTCTCCAGCACAGGATGTTCTTCATGGTGTAAGTGTCTAGAGTACAGTGGAAGTGTTACCTTATAACTTACCAGTATTTGGGTAGCTAGGAGTCTGTCTGGGTTTTGAGGCTACAGAGACCAGAACCAGACAAGGTTTAGGATCTCCACTTTCCTTTCTTTTGTCATAGAAAATGGGCTGTTACTCTGTTTCTTGCTACTTCACAAGCTCATCACCTGTGATATGGGAAATCTCTAACACCTTGCTTAGAGAGAGCATGCAAATACGCATTTAATGTTTTCACTCTTAATAAATAAAATACAAACCCCACTTCTAATGGGTGAAAATCTTTACATGATTTAATGTCATGATATTTTTGAGTGCATATTATTCCAATGCATTTTTAAATTAAGAACGCTAAAAACAGTTGACTCTATTCTTGTAAACAAGAGAGGGAGATGTATAATGTCCTGCGTAAAGATCACTTTCTCTCGCTCTCTCTGTGCAATTGTCTGTCAACATGTTTTTCTTCATCTTTTTGGAACAGATCACCAAGCTGTCAGGTTATTTTAAAACATTCATCTTCTAAAAGTGATGGTTAAGATACATGGCTAAATCTTATATTTTGTTATAACTTGGAAGAATATTATCATTTGGAATGCCAGAATCTTTGGGCGGTCAGGCCTTAACAAAGAGTGGTGTTAGTAAAAATGTTTCTAAATATTTGGGTACAAATGTAAACTTTAGTCTTTAGCAGCCTGTCAAACTGAATGTATTGTCTTTTTTGTAGTCATTGCTGCTTTAGTTATCTTGCTTTGGAAAACTGGGAAGCAACTAGAAAGCCATAAAGGTGGCACTGTTAACACAGTGACTGGCTATTGAAAACTTGAGCTTTGATCTAAAGTTACTCTTATGAGATTGTAATAAGACACACGAAGTTTCACGGCTGCTCAGGGCTGTGTGGTGCCCATTTATGCCTGTTTTTATGAACAGAACAAGCTATGTAATTTTTTTCTTAATGACTTGTAATTGGAAAGCTACCAGCATACCATGTGAAGGATATAGGAGAACTGCAGAAAATCATAATTTTTCTATAGAGCGATCAAAACCGATTAACAGCGGATTGGATTTCTATTTGTTGCTTGTGCAAAAAAAAGTGTGTGTCGCAGGATTTCACAGATGGGGAAAAAGTAATTTTGGAAGTATCTAATTCATCCTTTGGGGAGTTCAAACTGAGAGGATGAAGGGTAAAACACTTCGAATGGAGTTCCGTGTATGTTATTCATTATGTTGGAAATACTTTTTCCTTCAGCGGTCAGCAAGAAAACTTTCTATGAACATGCTGTACTGTTGGAAGCGATAAATGCTTGATTTTCCAAAGCAAAAGAGTTGGTTTTTTTCTTTCCCCCCGCCCAGTAATCTCACTTTTGTGACTCGTGATACTAAAAAAAGAAAGAAAGACTTCTTTCTGTTGTCCAATTAGCATTTATTACTTTCTGCTTTGGATGTGGCTCTTTGATTAGATAGTTTGTTAGCACTGATCTACACGTCGATCTAAACTGATCTACAAGTTATTTTTGAAGACACATCTTCTGCACTTAGAATAGAATATGATGGTGACCAAAGCTGCCTTTAAAATAACTGTTGGCTATGGTAATTATAAGGCAGGCTGCCTTACGTTCACAGAAGAACCAAGCGTCTTTTTGCCTCCTTTCCTCCTGCACCAGAGGTGGATGCTGATGGCTCTGAGTGTCTGATGTTTAAGGGGTAGGATAGTTGTTCCTGGACGGTTACGTTGGGTTTATATATTTAGCATTTATTTAGCATTATTAGCCTGTGCTATGCCTGTGTGTCTGTATGATTGCTTGCTATGGAAAAGCAATTTTCCCTTTTTTACTTTCCTATAGTATGAAGTAATGTATATGGAGCTGATTTATATCTTTGAAAGGCATCTTGTGCAGATAGGTGAGCTTTTCTCTTTGCAATAGCTTTCAGGAAGGAATGCTGTGGGATGATTGCCTTACAGTGGTGAAAACAGCGCTGTCATCACCGGGCTTGAAGAACAGATGAGTCTTTGCTATGATTAATTATGGAAAAAAGACAAACTCACTTAAAATCTGTCATGGTAGCTTGGAATGGTAATATATAATTAAACAGTAAGACGTGACAGGAAAAACATTTCTGGAAGATTACTCTATGCCTCTGGTGCATTTTAAGATATGAGTTCCTGTCTAAATTGAGGGGAACTGAATTCTCCTCATCTACCTTTCATTTTTAATTACATTAAATATATTTGACTCAAAGACTGCTTTGAGAAATTGTAACTTATTTTTGGAGTTCTTGGGCAAGTCTCGTTCTGAGAACTGCTGCTGTTGTCTGCCTGTCCCCATGAAGCAATGCTTACTTGGCCGGCAGCCCCCTTGCTCCGGGATCTCCCTGCCCTGCGGTGCCACATGTTGCCTTTGGAACCAGTTCCTTCGGTCATGCCTCTCGCTGCCAGATTGCTACGGGCCAAACACGTTGCTTCTCGTTTGTCATTTTGGCTCCGCCGGTGTGAAATGGCCAGGAGTCGTTACAGGTGCAGGCGGACCCTTAGGATTTTGTCAAGTTGGCATAGCTGGTTTTGCACTGTGTGAACTCTTCAGGGATGTTGGTGCAGAGTGTGTGCGGACAAGGTGTTAAAGACAAGCGACAAATTTGCTGCTTCTTATTTCTAGCCACTAAAATGACTGGTTTTCAAAACTAAACCTTCAGGTTGCTGTATCTGTCGTTTGTATCGCGTCCTTTCCTTGGGCTGTCTTGTGGGGACAGATTGGATGCTGCAGTGAAGACAGTTCTAGGGTATTGCCTAGCATTTATGAAATGGCAGATATATAAGTACCAGGCTGGTTTCTTCTAGTCTCTTGATTGGTAGGTGAAGAAATAACATATGCTGCTCTGTGTGTTTGAAGCACGACTTTGCCTTGGAATAGAAATTGAGGCTCCTCGGGGAGGAAAAAAAAAAACCCCAAATCATAAAAGCAGCCCATTGATTTGCACGTGCTCTGCCAGGAAATGAAGACATAACCCTGGGCAAGAGCTGCTATGAGAGGCACTGAGAGTAGCGTGTTAAATGTTTCTAAAGAGGTTTAAAAGACAGTGGGGGGAGAGGCAGCTGCTGGTGGTGTGGAACCCCCCACTGATGAGGATCCTGTGGAGAAGGGGTGCCTAGGTGAGGGGCAGACCAGGAGCAACGTGAGGTTCCTGGCTCCACCTCTTGTGAGCAGGGAAGAGTAGGGCAGTATTGTTACTAACATCTTCTGAATGCGAGCAACTGGGGAGATGGACTGGAGTAGGTAATTCAGTGTAGGTGTGGAAGGGTGAGGGGAAGAGCACGGGGGCTCCAGCTCAGCTCACGTTGTTTCGGGACGGTATAGCTGCTCTGCTGCCAGGTAGCAGCATGGGCTGGTGTGCTCAGAGCCTGCGTCATCTGCTTTTCGTGTGTTGTATGGTATCCCTCCTTCGAAGGAGAATGCACAATTAGAAGAGTGCAGCTGTTCCTACCCATCCTCGGAGTTGAGATGCCCCTAGCACGAACTTGGGGAGAACTGCATTTATTTGGATGCCTTAATAACAATCTGAAGAATGAATAACAGGGTTTAAACGTCGTGAGGTGGGAGGGAGGAGTTGCATTGTCTGACTTCTTATTGTGTTGATGAAAGAATAACTTTTAGTGCTCCGT